TTTTCCTTTCCTTTTCTTTTCTTTTTTTTTTTTTTCTATGATTTCACGCGAAAAACGACTCTCGTTTCGTAACGTTTGAATCGCAGAATTGGCAGACGGAGGAAGCATAGATGGCGATCAACCGAATAAAAGGCCAAGGACCACGATCACGGCGAAACAGTTGGAGACCTTGAAATTAGCGTACAATACCAGCCCTAAACCAGCGAGACATGTGCGAGAACAACTTTCTCAGGACACAGGGCTAGACATGCGCGTCGTTCAAGTCTGGTTTCAAAATAGGTAAAAATCGTAAAAATATTACGTCAAATATCTTTGAACGAACGAAATATCGATACAGTATTGGATGTGTAGAATAGACGCGAGACGCCTACTTTATCATGTTTTCGAAAGCCGTTGCAACTTAAACATAGATAGGCAAGATAATATAAATCTATGATTTTCATACAAAATTAAGATGATATTTCGTAAAAAATATTGAAATTGTTAACTCTATTGATTTAAGAATATATTTATACAATAATTGGTACATTAGAAGAAGCAAGAGGTAAAGAATATTAAGATGAAAGTGAAAAAATAAAGGATATTAAATTATGTCAAAAATACACGTAAAATTGTTGTATTTATAAATTTCTTATAAAGAATAACAATATTGTTCATAGCGTAACAAATATATCGTGGATTGTTAGTTGTCATTTTAATCTAAGGCTTCCGCTATTCATCTTTTCGTTATCTCTATTGACATCATAATTTTTATACATCGTTATGTACAATATTACCAATTGAAAAAAAATTACTTTATCAATTCTATACTTGTATGCCATAATCCTATGTGCTTCACGTAAAAAAACACTGCACTTTGACAATATCGATACAAAGTTATCAATCAAGATTTTTTCTTTTTTCATTATTGATAAAAATTTTAAAAAATCTATACATACTTTAGATACGCACACTTTGGATTTTGTTAAAGCGATTTATTATTTCTTGCAATTTTTCTATGAGATTCTCAAATAACTTCTCCCTTTAATTTTCCATAATAAAGTTCCTTAAAAAATAATACAAAAATAATATATTTGTTATAAAATTCAATAATAGATCAATAATCTTTAAAAATCGTCAGCATCAAGTATAAAGGATTGAATTGCAAAAATGTTCAATTTACTTGAGAAAGATTTTTTTTCAAATATGTTAAATAAAGTGTCAATAGAGGAATTCATCATGGTGAAATTTCTTTCCTCCTGTTGTAGGAGAGCAAAAGAGAAGAGACTGAAAAAGGATGCCGGTAGAACAAGATGGTCTCAATATTTTCGAAGTATGAAAGGAACAGGGGCTGGTGGACATTCACCTAGGCACGATAAGCTTCTCGAAAAGGATGAACTCAAGGTCGATTTAGATTCCACTTTTGGTCACCATGGTAAGTACACGTATCATCTTTATAACTTATATTTAATTAAATATTGTTCTGATTATATTGAAAACAATATTAATTTTTAAACGTATATTCAAAACATATATTTCTGTACAAGATAAAATCTTTGATGGTTTGATGATGGTAGTCGAAAAATCGCGCTGCATTATTAAAAATAGCTTCATTTGTATCTCCGATATTACGAAATGCGTATTCCCTTTGTATGCACGAGCATTCGATTCCTGTAACGAGAAAATATTAAAAGTAATGGTATCATCGCAAAAAATTGTATTATTTAAAACGGAGAATGAAAAAATAAATTAAAAAGATATAATAAAAATAGATAATATAAATTGTCTAAATAATATGTATATATATATATATTTTTCTGCGTCGTTTAACTAATTCATAAATTTCAAAATATCGGGAGAAAAAAAATGGCAATCGACTTTCCCATTCAAATATAAAAAGCGCGAAAGTAGAATAGCAGAAAGCTTTAAAAAAATCATTCTCTGGCTCTGTTGCTTTCGCTTTAATGTTGGTTACATCTAAGCTTTCGTGTATCGGAGCGTTTAGCGGAGGGGAAGACGATCTCGTCAATTATTCAGAAGTTCGTGGAGGCTAACTGCTAGTTCGCCGTGTCCGAGATTTCAGGAAGATTGCGGACTATCCTGGAATTTATACCGACCGTTAACCATGCGCGCCGTAAAGTCGTATAAACTTCACCTATTGTTTAAATTTTAAACGGGTTCATTACCGAGTTCCTTCCCTTTCGCCTGATCGAAATATTACCAACTTATTTTTCCTTTATTTGCACTTTTATATTTCAAATATGAAATTTTCTAGAAAAATATTTTATTCTTTATATTTATATGAAGAGCGTCAAGATAACGCTCCACACCTGTTATCGAGTATATCATAAGTTTTGCTCGTTACAGCGATGAGATAATTATAGCGACGAGGATGATATTCGTATATGTTTAGATTTGAGTAACGACAGTTACGGGACAGTGGTGAACATGGGATTAGACGGCGAAGGTGCGAGTCCAGGTGGGGGCGGAAATGGGGCAGGAGGGGGCCCTCCACGTGGTTATTTAGGCGCAACGACCCCCCCTTATCTCTCAACGTCCAGATCACCGTCCTTACCACCTCAATTTCCGTATCCACCGGATGCTGGCCTCTCGGTCTACACCACTCTTGGTAAGGCGCGACGACGCTTTCTCTCATTGTTTCGTTCGAGATAATCGTGATTAAAGGACGGTATTAAAAAATAGGATACGGATGGTAGAAGGGATTGAACGATGAATGTTCACAGGAGGCGCGGGTGGGATGGTACCAGGGCCGGCGTCGGATTTGAGCAACGAATCGAGCGGAGGCGGTGGAGGCGGCGGAGGTGGCGGTGGAGGTGGTTACCCGGACTTTCCACCCTCGCCCGACTCATGGCTCGGCGAACCACCACCTCCACACGCTCACCACCATTCCCACTACGCCACATAACCCGGCAAACTGACGCGTTGCCAAGCACCGTTCGTAAGAACGGATCGACGCAAGGCGTTCACTTGACGGCCCTTTTCCACGAGGCAAGGCTTATCCCGAAAACTTCGAGCCTTCCACTTCGGATCAACCTGTCCACTTTCGTCGATCCGCCACGAGTTAGATTCTCGAGCCTCGACCTCGAGAGGATCTCGATGTTTCTCGGTGTATCACCAAATAGATCCATCTAGAGGTGGAACTCGATCAAGACTGACCGATCGAGAACCGTCTCGAACAAAGAAGTCATTCCACACCGTATTCTGCACCGTCCCGGCGGGTTTCCCATCATCGGAATGATGCCATGTGTCGCTATCGTATAACGTTACTTTACAGCGCAAATACGATAGCGCTAATTCGATAGGTACGATTAATCTAAATATATTTATGTACAAGTTCCTCGTTTCCCGGTACTACTGGAGTTTAATCGTCGAATAAAGAAAAACTAGAAGGTAGGTTAGACGTGTCGCGATACCGGACGTTTGCTCGAATCGATGCGATTCGCAAGATTACGGTTGTTCGTAATTCAAATTGTTTCTTCGGTTAATCCGTTGATCAACGAGGTTGAGATTCGTCGATCAAATCAAATTCTCGTTCGAAATCATACGTATGTACATATATTTCTGATGAACAGTATTCCATGAAAGATCGATATTTATTTTACGGAATATTTTCTTTTCCGAACGAGATAGAATCTGTATACAAACCGTATATTTCGCGAAAGGCATCGTTTCATCGAAAGACATCATCACGGAACACGTTTCTATGGTATATCGCGCTTACGTGATGCTAGAAGTTTCAGGTGTCATTTATTGTAAATAGTTCAGATTAGATTTTATCGTATTACAATAAGAGAGCAAGGAATATAGAAGAGGAATGGAAAAAAGCAGGGGAAAAAAAGGAAAGGATTGGCGTACAGCGATCTCTACAGGAGCGACGCCGTCCGCGAATAAAATTCAAAATAAAAGTTAACCCTGAAGCACTAATGAATTTATCGCATCAACACTCGATAGATCGATTTTCTCATAAGTAAAAGATTAACGAAGTTGTTCCATATTTTTTATTAGCTGTAACGTAACATCGAATCACAAAAGTTGGGTTAAAGAAACGTGGAATGGAAGGTGAATTTTGATTGGTCACGATTTACATTTTCCCATAATTGAATATTGAATGTTGCACCTTGTATATATATGAATTTAGTGCTACAGAGTTGGCTAGCTTCGCGACCAATCAGAATCATTCTACTTTGCCGCGAATAGCTCAGTCGACTTTAAGAAGCGGACGAGTGAAGATGCGATGCGAGAACGATCCGCGTAAAATCGAATATCGTCGTTTCTATTTCCGAATATTTTACAAAAAATCGATTCACGAAGCGTGATTTTCAATCGTAAGTGACATCCAGATGTGAATCATTAATTGTGTCGTAATTTATTGCGAAAAGATTACTTCCGATCGGTGACTAGTGGAACTTCGAAATGTGAGAAAATGTTTCTCCACGTTGGAACAACGGTCGATGTATCGTACAGTAAAAAACAATCATGTAGTTTACAATCATCGAGTGTATCGAAGATATTTTGTAGCTCGTCAACGTCACGAATGTCAACATCCACAATTGTCGCTCGAAAGTAAGTCCTTTTTTCGCGACTTATTAGATGATCGCTATTCGATTCCGCCAACGTAAACGAAATCGTCAAACAAACATGGCGCCATTGGATGGATGGTGTACCGAATCAAAGTTTACTTTGCGTGTTTGTTTATCGTCGGTGAAACCGAGCGTCAGTAGATTACACCTTTGACGTGTTCTGCGTCACTTTTTATCGATTCACAGCATTGGAAAGGCACTGTCGCGAGACATTTCGATCAATCGATTCCATTTGAACGAACGTTCATTTATGCGATTAACACTTTTACAGATAGGGTTGTAAATTTACTTAAAACAATTTTATCGATCTATAAAAAATGAATTGATAACGTTTTTTTTTTTTCTTAATTATTAAACGAAATACGTAATATATGTACGAAAAATTTGACGAACGATATACCATTGATTACTACTTCTCGTTTATTACGAACGATATCATTACTTCTCTGTCTGTAAAGTGTTAATAATTTTAAATAATCAAAGTCATAACGATGTCAATTGTACCCTCGTCTCAATGCATATACGCGATTATGTACAAATTGTTACATGTACATATGTACACGCGAGTATAAATATTCGAGAAAATATGCCTAGATTTAGATAATCGATAATCAAAAGTAACAGATTCAATTGATCGATTATGGTCTCCGACTGATAGCTAACTTCATTCGCATGTATAGTAATATGAGGCATAACGTTTGTTGTTTTTGTAACGAAGAAGAAAAAATTTTAACTCGTGTTTGTTCAAAATTTACAACATCGTGTCTTGTTGTATAAAAAGATTCATAAATTTTTAAATTTATTTCTTGAAAATTCTCTGTGCCTCGTATTATTTGAGAAATATAGATACTTGAAACATAGCACGTATCATCTGACAAAGACCGGTAAAAAATAATATATCATTGTAGAATTGTATATACGTCGTCCCTGTTTATTTTACCCGCGAAAATTCAATGAATTGAAATTGGAAATTGAGTAAAAAAAAAAAAAGTATGATATATTTCGACGGGTAAGAGAACTGAATGTTGTACAGTTACGAAAACCGAACACACGCTCCTTCTCACTGGGTTTCGCAAAGATGAGAAAAAGATTCGCAATGACTAGCGCAGTTCATAACTTCATCGACACGAGTTACTACGGATCTTTATATTATTATCTAGTCATCGAGTGATAATAAAAATTCTATCGTAATCTACATTGTGCTGTATATTGTTTCGAATTTTTCATTTTTATCCGTATGTCATATTAAGTTTTCACGTATTTCATTTATTTATTTTTAATTATATTATTTTTAATTATATTTATTTCACAAACATTCAATTTATTTATTCTTTCACTTATCACTTTTTTTTTTTTTTTTATTTATTAAAATTTGCTATTTTAATAAAAGTTTTTATTGAATCAAGGAATACAGCATTGAATACAAAGTGAAGTAATTAAATAAGATAAATTAGGAATTGAAAGTAGGAAATAAATTTTTTAAATCTGTCATTTATTTTTTTTTTTTTTTCTTCAAATATCAATGGCACTTTATTTGCGAAGACTATGTACAGATGCTGATAGATGTAATGATATTCTTGGTGTTTAATATGTACACGCGCGCGAATTTTTTAACGTCGAGAATACGATAAAATGGACAGTTTTCGATTCGATAACAAGGTTTTAGCAACCTTTAGAGAGAAGAAACAATCTACAAAAGAACTTGAACACACGTACACAATTATGTACAAGTATTACATATACATCTTCGTTTTTTCACGAAGTTTTCCTTTTTTCTTTCGTCTTTACATTAGTTCTTAATCATTCTTTTTTATCGTGTAAAATTTCACGTATGTACGAAAATACTTTTTAACAGTTTTTTTTTTTTTTATAAAATACAACAAGTGTCGCTGTCGTTCGTTAATTTGTAAAAATACTATTCGTTCGTTGACGATTGTTCGAGATTTAAAATGAATCGAAAAATATGTGAAAGACAAAAATATGATAAAAACGTGATTATAAAAAATGAACGATAGAAATCATTAACGTTAAAAATCAATTACGAACAGCGATTGTATATAGTTTTCTCTGTACAAGACATTTTTTCGGTTTTTTTTTTCTTTTTTGCTTTAATTGTCCAGAGGTTCTTCGTACGTCCTCGTTTTCTTTAATATATTTTTAGTAATTTGCAACTGTTTCGTAATCGCCTTCTCGACATTTTTCTTATTTTTATTCGACGCGGAAAGATGTTGGAAAGTATCCTCCAATGTCCTCCTCGTTTTCATTAATCTTCTTTTCAACGCTTCATTTTCTTGCTTCAAAGCTTCTACTTCATCGAGACCTGATAAAATAGATTTTTATTTATAAAAACATGTAATAGAAATATTTATATTTATTCGAAATTTTATAATAAGTAATAGATGAGATAAGTTTGCGGATAATTTTAATTTTAAAATAAATTATAAAAAAAAAAAAAAAAAAGAATAGAAATAGAAATTAAATTTTATAAAATTAATCAATATTTTTAATGATGATTTGATCGCGTCGAAGTTACCTTCTATCGGCAAAGGACTTTCGCTATCCACCTCTCGAGCTGGCCTGTTACCATTGCTGTTATCTTCGTCGCTTAAAAGATTAGTCATTGATTCGGTAATTTTCAAAGTATCCTTCAATGGTCTCGTAGTTGTGATCGCCGCATCACTTTCGATCCCCAAATCTGGCGAGCAGCTTGATTTACTTCGACCACCGATCGTTGAATAATTTATGGATAAC